TTTTTTTTTTTTTAACTTAGGTTTAGGGCTGATTCTTCTATTTTCACTTTGCAAGATACCTTCCATTTTTACTCAAAGTAGGTAAGAAAAAAAATTAAAGGAAACTTTTGTATGATGCTGAACAAATCATTTAACCTATTGTCTTCTTTACAGATTTCTGCATGTCCACTTGCAAGAACCTCGATTGCCCATCACTACTCTACTTGGTTGTTCTAAATTTTATTGTGGCATAGTTCATGCTTTGCTAACAGCATATAATGCTCCAAATTCAAGCTCCCTGCATCTCTTACATCTTTGGTGGCTATAATTCAGCTCTCCTGTCAATTGCTTAAGGCCTCATCCTTGAATGTGACATGAAGAACAGATATTAGCAAATGGTTCACGTAACTTATGTAAATGCATGAGAAAACCTTCCAAGATCATTCTCTCATTCATCTAACAATAGCCATGTGAAGTATGCAGGTTAGTTCCCATTGTTTCTTATTTATTGATTACTTTAGAAATGTTTTGTGATTAATCAAATTCTCATATCAACATACAGAGAATCTAGGGTCAAACCAGGAGTCCTAAATTCTAAATTACTGCCATTTTTACAACAGTGATGCAATATGGATGAAGCAGAGTAGCGTTGGAGGCATTTGTAGTTGATCTCTATTTGTAATGAATTTCCTCTCGATGTTAGTACAGCTGATGTTCTCCTCTTGGGCAGTTATGTTACTATCTTAGTGAATATTTACTCATCTGTGATTCAAACTAAAAAATAGACCATGTTGTGGCTTTAAAATATCTAGTGTCAAACTGTTCTTTGCATAGAGTGCAAATGACTTCTGATAGATTATATTTTCAGGTAAATTTGCTTATTGATTGTAAGATGACATTGAATTCTACATTGATTTTTTTTCCAGGTATTAATTATCTTTTGGTTTGAGTTTCACTGAGGATTTGAGTGAATCATCCTAGGTGAATGTGTTAGTGTTTCATCACTCTGACCAAAATACCCAATCATAACAATTCAGAGGCAGAAAGGGTTATTTCTAAAGATTTAGTGGATGTATGACCAGCCTTAAGGCAGAAGCATCATTGTTGAAAGGACATGTCAAAGGAAAGTGAGCTGTTCGTGGCATTAGGGAAAGAAAAAAAGGTGGGGATGAAGGAGAGAAAGGGGCCAGGGACAAGATATATTCCCCAAAGGCATGCCTCCAGTGACCTACTTCCTCCTGTTAGTTCCTACTTCCTGTAATTTCTATCACCTCCCAAAATCCATCCAAACTATTAATACATCAAATGGATTAATCCACTGATGAGACTAGAGACTTCAGGACACTGAAAGTCTTACTTCTGAATATTGGTGCATTGGGGACCAAGCCTTGAGCTTTTGGGGGGACATTCCTAATTCAAACCACAACAGTGAGAATTCAAGATAGCTAGTCAAAACAGAATTTTCCAACTCCCAGGGTTCTTGGAGCTGTACTAATATCTGGTTTGCCTCTAGTTCTTACTCTGTGCTTTTTTACCAACAGAGCAACTGTCATGATGGCTACTGTGCAAAGCTCTGTGGTCTTAAAAGAGCAAGAGTAGAAGAAGAGAAGGAGCTAAAACAAATTAAGAGATCTAAATCCAGGGACATGTTTCCAGGCAGGAAAACTTTGCCCATATACTGAGATATTGTTAGGGTGACCATCTCATGCCCTGCTTGGGACTGAAACATTTCCCCAGATGTGGGATAAAAATCAATAAAACTTTGGGGTTAAAATTAATGAAAGTCCTGAGAAAACTGGAAAAGTTGGTCCTTGTAGTTCAAGTAGAGTCAATATTTCTAGGAGGAGACTTTCCTTACTTACCTTTCTTATGTAAATTTATGGGAATTCTACAAGGAAATGGCACAGGGAAAAGCATTGGAGTTCTGGTGAAGGAGCACACAGAGGCTTAGAAAAGAGACAGAGGAACTGGATTTAAAGATAAAGTCTGTTTTGAAAGGCAGGCCAATTACCCACCCAGAGTCAGGAAGGAAGCCTTCTGTGGCTCTCCTATGTCCAACTCCAGTTACTCTTCCAGCCTACTTTCTCCCCTCTCTTATTTATCCTGTGAATCCTAGGTCTGAGGACCCTGCCCAAGGTTAGTGACTTGCCATCAGTTACTGTTTAAGCCTCTGATGATTCATCTGTAAACAGAACATAAACAAAGTCCTTCCCACAGGAGTTTATAATCTATATAGCAAATTGGCATCAGAGTCCACTAAACAGCTATAAATGTTTTAGATAAAGATAAAGCCAAGAAACAGAGTAGGAAAAAAAAGAGTATGGCATGTTTATGAAGATCTCATCAGGGAGGTGAAATTTGGAACCAATCATAAAAAAGCATGTTTTAGGAATCAAGACATACCACTTGGATATGACTTGGGAGATATAAGTTTTAATTTTTTATTAGTGCCTTAAAATTATATATAGTAGGGGAATTATTCTGACATAATCATACATGCATAGAATATAATTTGCTTCATTTTGATTTCTAATACTTCTTCTTTCTCTCTCCTCCTCCCTCCCTCTCTTCCCCTTCCTCTACTGGTTTTATTTCTATTTATTATTTATTTTTTCTTATTTTTTAAATTTGTGCTTTGATATACCTAAAGGTAGAATTCACTGTGGTATATTCATATATGTACATAGCATAATTTAAAATATCATTCTATGGCTCCTCCCTTTTCTTATCCTTCCTCCCTTCCCTTCTTCCTGTTCCCTCTGACCTCTCTTCAATTTTCATGAGATACCCCATTTTCTCCCCTTATTTTGCTCCAGTTTCCACATTTGAGAGAAAAAAAAATTGGCCCTTGACTTTCTGAGGGTTTATTTCATTTAGCATGATGTTCTTCTGTTTCATTCATTTACCAGCAAATACCATAATTTCATTCTTCTTTATGGCTGAGTAAAACTCTATTGTCCCTATATACCACATTTTCTGTATGCATTCATCTCTTGACAGGCACCTGATCCGGTTCCATAACTTGGCTATTGTGAATTGTGCTGTGCTTGTATCACTGTAGCATGCTGGGGAAATGTAATTTTTTTAAGAGCCAATAGGTATGTGCAGAGTTTTGTTCCTAGATCAATAAATAATAAAGGAAGAACACTCAATACAGTTGGAAAAAGTTAAAGAGGCTGACAGATAAAGGATCAAGCTTCCTGATGCTTGTAAGACTATGTTACTGTCATTTTATTTCATTTTCATTTATTTGCTTGGCATTGAACAGAGAAATACTTGAATCTGCACCTTGCCTGTACCCTCAGGCATTGTATTTTATAAAGAGACCTCTATAAGCAAGACAGAGCAAAGCACATAAACTAGGGGTTCTCTTGATGTAATTTATCTCTTACTTTTGTTTTAGCAAAAACTAGATATCCTTCAAGCCAAGTTATAGGAGCCTACAGCCTGAGGCATTGAATTGTGTTGGACATAAACACCTTTATTCAAAAATAACTTATTTGAACATTCTGTTATAGTTGCATGAAACTTATCTGTCAGCAAGGTTATTAGGTCTTACTTACATCAGTAACTTCTGGTTTTCTTACACACCCCATAAAGCACCGACAAATAAAATATTTCAAATGTGAAAGCAGCATCTTTTGTTTTTCTGATATGTGATACTATAATAATGCCTTTCTTTCAAATTATAAAAATGTTTTTATTGAGTAAAAGAGGTATTCCAAATACTTCTAGCCACTTAAGGTACAGATTTATTTTACTTAACTTAGTAGATATTGATATTTACTACCATATCACAGCACAAGGGATTCTGTTTTCTTAAGCAGGAGCACCATTTTAAGAATACACAGGACAATGGATTTTTCTGAACATGGAGCAATTGTTGAGGCTACTGACTCTCTGGAGTGGGTGACCAAGGTAAGAAAGCAGATTGGATAAGGGACCACAGATATGCATGTGATGTAAATTACATGAAAATTGAGAACTATCCAATTATATTTGATACCATCAATGATATTATTTTGCAATGAGCAAAGAATGTACACTGACTATAATATCTTTTCATTTCTGGCAAACAACTGTGGCTTCTCAAGGAACAGATGACTGGGCATTCTCCTCATGAGCATAAATCCAGAGGTTCTGTCTGTTTGAGGTCTCTGCTTCAGAATTTGGTATAAATTTTAAAGGTACGAAAATATGGGGAAAATTTCTGTGAGTTGACCTTGTGTATTACTTTATTTGGTGGTTCCATTGTCCCTTAGGGCTGATCAAAATGTGGCTATAGACAAGATTTGCCTGGAGTTGCCTAAGCTCAGGCTCTCATTGCTGAACTAAAGCGCTTAGAAAAATTGTTCTAATGGTGTGAGCATAATTCTCCTACTTGGTAGGATTGCCTTACCCGGCTCTTGGACTCAATCCTTAGTAAACAAGAAAACAAAAAACTCTAAGTTCAAAGAAGCCAAATGACTAAAGTCAATTGAATTTTTGATGAAAAATTCTCTTCCAGTAAGCACTTTATATTTCTTAATAACTTCTTTTTTCTTTCAAAAAAGAGGAAGAGGCACTGTTGTCAAAAATCCCATAAAAATTTACTTTTTTCATATATTGTTAACCCTTTACCGTGATTACTTCAAAGTGGCTACATATCTGTAAGGACGGTACATGGTACTGTTATGGCCAAAGCTATATTAAACTTCATGTGTTAGTTTATGCAGTCTTTATGAACTTTCTTCCTAGAGTAATATTTGTTTTTTCTTTAAACCATTTCTAGCCTTTCAATTATCCATAATGATTCTTAAAGCAAAAAATAAACATATTTGGAAAGAAGTAACTATTTGGCAGGAAGTAGTAACTAAACACACATGCCAACTCCAAGTGTAAACATGGCAACTGCTTCACTGTGAGCATATGATTTGAGGTTGAGAAGGAAGAAACAGTCTAATGCCCCTCACCCATTCATACTTCAAATGCAGACACACACACACACACACACACACACACACATATGTACAGATATCATTTTCTTTTTATTTGTAATGTTGCAGATCGAATCTAGGGCCACATATATAGTGGGCAAGCACTCTATTGTGAAATATCTACCCCCATCCCCAAACTACAAATACTGCCTTATTGGTCAGCAGGTGACTACAAATTGAATAAAATTTAGTCTTTTCCCTAAAAAGTTCATAATCAAGTGAAAAACTACTATATGAATATGTATGTATGTGTGGGTATGCATTTGTATCTATATAGATATACACCTATATAAAACATGTATATTAATATGTATTAGTATGAAATTATATGACATAAAAGTATATTGAATATTAAAGCAAAATATATAAAATAATATATAAATAGTACAACTAATTGTATTACTAGTATAATGTATAATCTAAATTATATAAATTCAAAGTATAAATACAATTATAATGTGGTATATGCTTTGGTAGATACATCTATATAAAAGATATTAATACTTTTTCTGTATGTGGATTATAGAAAGCTTCAGAAGAGAAGGATTTCTCCGAAGAGTTTCCTGAAATCTTTTCAAGAAAATTCCAAAAAAGATGGAGCTAGCACCCCAAAAGATAAAACATTAAAACTCAAAAAAAAGATGGAAAGAGAGCAGTGGAGGTGAGAAGTGTTTGATTAGACCCTTGTTCATTAGCAGTGGCCATGCGAGGCTGGCTTGGGGTAAGTTAGAAGTCACATGCACGATAGTCAGAGCTCATAATGTAGAGAAAACAGGTAGCACCATTCCCACAGACTCCATAGTGCACAGTCACCAGTTCCTAAGTCTATTTAAGAAGCATAGGTTCTTAGAGATGACTGTGACTGTGTGTGTGTGTGTGTGTGTGTGTGTGTGTGTGTGTGTGTGTGGATACTTGTCTCCATGTTTATGGATGGAGTAGAAGTGGGGGACATTAGAGAGCACGCATCAATTATGAATTAGATTTTGAAGTTTTAATGCTTAAAATAACCTTCAGTTCTGCAAAAGGTTTGCTTGCCAGAATGCATAACAACATAACAACTCTCCTATCCATGATGTCAACTGCTCTATGATGGGTTTGTATCAACATTTCCTTTCTTCATAGTGCCTGGTGTAATGAAACGTCTTTCATGTTCAGCCTGATGTCACATGCACATTCAATACTTCTGTGTGTTTTCTTTTCTGTTCACAGCTTCTTATTTGCAGAAATAAATTTTAGACATATGTTTTGTGAATTGAGTTTATCCCAGTTGACTGATTTGTATTTTTGTTAAAATTTTATACTATGAAAACAGTTACTAAAATATAAGTCAGCTCTATAGGTAAATTGCTAAACTCTAATACTGGGTGTTAGATTTGAAGGGGATACCATTGTTAAAAAAGAAAACTTTATTGGCACCTGACTTGCATTCCTTTCAACCCTGTTGTCTATTTATTCCCCGCCCCCTCTCCCAATAGCTGCTTTGCTCTTCAGTTTATGGGAATTTCAGCAATACTTCTATTTTCATAGGGTTTATTTATTACACATAAAATGATTTTTTCTTATTTCTTTAGCTCATAAAACATCTGTGAGATGTCAAGCATTTGTTTTACCTGTTCTATAATGGTGAAATACATACATGAAGGATTTGCCTAGAGTTCAAGATGAATCATAACAGAACTCAGTTTTAATGAAATGCTCATCTTCTAATCTCTTTTTCTTCTCTCTCTCTCTCTCTCTCTCTCTCTCTTACACACACACACACACACACACACACAACCACTTTTCTTCTTTTCTTTTTCAATTCAGGTTTTTTATATTGTATAAATTTCATTTGCACATGACAATTTTCCATTACCTTAAATCTCCAACATTGATAGTAATTAGTTGTATACCTTTTCCTCTGAATAGTGGTTTAATAGTGGCCTGAGGGTTGGTAAGTTTTTGTTTTTGTTTTTGTTCTCTTGTGTACCAGGGATTGAACTCAGAGGCATACAACAACTGAGCCACATCACCGCTTCTGTTTTGTATATTATTTAGAGACAGTGTCTCATTGAGTTGCTTAGCACCTCTCTTTCGCTGAGGCTGGCTTTGAACTAACAGTCCTTCTGCATCAGCCTCCCAAGCTGCTGGGATTACTGGAATGCTGAGGAATAATTAATAATGAGGAATAATGAGGGAAATGATTTAGTTTATGGACTCTCCATACACAGGAATATTTACAAATTCTTAGCAGAAACTTCTATTATTATTATTATTATTATTATTATTATTATTATTATTATTATTACTATTAGAGCTGCAAAAAATATTCTTTAGTGTTGCTGATAGCTCAATGCTCTTAGGAAGATTTTGAGAGAGACTTTAAGCCTTTTCACTCAGATTTTCGTGTATCTGTTCTTTGTATTTCCCCTTCTTAAAAGTAATTCCACAAAATTGTACTAAAATTCCTGACCAAATTTTAGAATTTTCTTATCAAGACAGTCTAGAAATGTCCTAATAAGATATATAAGTTGAGCCTTATTTGCTTTCTATAAAGATATTAATTAGATGTGAGTTTTTGATCTAATTGTACCCTGGCTGTATATTATTACTATTTCACTTTTTGTGGTGGTGGATTTATAATTATAATTTTTCACAAATTCCAAATGAGTATACAAAAAGTATTTATTCCCTTTTACTGTTAAATCTAACTTAAACAACATTTTAAATGTTATTATATTTTCACAATAAAGTTCCATTGTGTGTGCCCAGCGTCCTCATCTGTTCAAAATCAGTCATAGGCTAGCAGAGTAAATTTGAGTAAATTAGGTAATAAGTTGTTATTTATCCAAATATTGAGATGCAAATTTTAAATTGAAGATCAGTGACAGTGGTAATGTTGTAACACATATTCTGAATTTCCATGGAAAAACAACTCTAAGCATGGGTAAAGTATTTTTAGTACATCATCCAACACTAAGTGGGAATGTCACATTCTTTATGTGTGCTCAGAATATTCCCACAGTTAAGCCATGTGTGTGATATTTTTAGTTAGAGAATGTTTTAGTGGTTACATCTGTAATTTGAGGAGCCATGATCATCAAGATCCATAAAAAATAGAAGTAAACCATAGATGAAGGAAAGGCATGAAAAATGTGTTGAGAGGGAGTAAAACAAACAGATATGGAATATAACATCAATAAGGAACACTGAGGAGGACCATGGATGGAAGGCAAGCAGGGTTAGTGGATAGGGTGATTGACAGTTAAAAATTGAAGTTTGGGATGTGGCATATTGTGACATTTGGTTCCCAATAAGCAATATAATGACTCCTGACAGCTATAATCTCTAGAAAACTCAGATCAATGATGTTCTTTCCAATAATTAAAAATAAATGAAAACTTGACTTCTCTATTGCTTTCTTTTTTACTACTTGAAATCCTTAAATATATTTTAGGCTAAGGAATACTTTCAGGTGAAATATACAGTAAAAAGTGCTTGGTGAATGGTTTCTTAATTGAAAATATAATCAATAGTTAAGCAGATTTAAATTCAGGTATTAACATTCATGTAACAGTTTACAATTTTCTCTTTATTAACAGTATGTTGACTAATATAATATAAACATTACTGAATATTATAATATGAATTATTACAAAAAAGTATGAATCCTGAGTTAGACAGTGGCTGCATATATGTTCAGAATTAACTTGATCCTGTGTCATCAATATGAGATTAGCTGATGAAAGATAGAATGAAGTTTTGCGCTTAAAATTGGATAAAATGTCTTTCTTTGTTAGATACATTCACACTGTTTATGATCCACGATTTAGGAATTTTAAATATATGAGAAGTAAAGACATATAAATATATGAGGTAAAGATGAGGAAATAGTTTAGAAATTTCAGAATGGGCTTTTACATTTAATGTACTCTTTTTAATCAAGAAGTTTTGAGGTAGGGGTACCCAAAGGAAAATATATATAAGCACACTAGCATGAAGGAATGCAAGGGGAATGCTAAGATTACCTAGAATAAATACTACATAGATAGATGAGTGGCAGCATCAGCATGAAGTGTCTTGTGTATTCTGTTATCAAAATTTCCCAACTGCACACAACTATTGATTGAGAACCTGGGACAAGCTCCACATTGTGTTACACTCTTTTGAACATTAAAGGAACAGTGTATGAAAATGGCTAACAAAGTTTGGAATTGTAGGATCAATTTCAGCAGAAAGACAACGCTTAGAGAACAATAGAGCATTTAACAGAATAAAGCAGTGAACTAATGAGGGGCAGGAGCACTTGACTTGGAGATTAGAAATCCTTGTTCCATGTTCTAGTCTATACTCTACCACTTAACATTTGCCATCCTCTAAGTGAAGGTGCTAAGCCAGAGTTTCCTCTGTATCCCTTTGTGATAATGAAGCTTCCATAATAATAACAGCTAACTCTGTCATAGTGTTTACTTCATGCTTGACATTATTTGAAATGTTTTGTAACATTTCAGTAATCCTAAGAGGTGCTATGAAATTTAAGAGATGACAAAATGGAAAAATCAAAAACTTTCGTTGGGTCACACAGTTAATAAATACTAACTTGGAAGTAAAATTATGTAGTTGATTCTAGAGCCTGTGATTTTAACTTTGACCTATTTCATCCCAATGTTCTTCTGATTTTATAAATCTTTAAAATATGTTCTGAAAATGTAACTGACATGCAGTGGGGTGTGAAATAATGTCAACTGACCAATTAAGGGAATGCTCAGTGTTATTACACAGGATATATTATGGTTTGGCCCAAATGAGACCAGTTGGAAACTTTCATAAAATAGGTTACAACAATTCCATCTAGGGGGTAGAGGTGTGGCTCTGTGGTAGTGAATGCCTGGCATGTGTGAGACACTAAGGTTGATCTCCGTTATCACACAAAAAAATAATAGAAAAAATGAATGAATGGAAGACAGGGAAGAAGGAAAGGAGAGAGAGTGGAAGAGAGAGGAAGGAAAAAGTAATCTCACCTAAAGGCATTAACTTCATAGCATTCTTCTTCCACGTCTATTAACATGTACCACCAGAACCCTTAATGCTGGGATAATATATAAATATAATAGAGACACATATAAGAATGATTGAGCAAATCATTGAGTTGGCCATCCCTAGAGTACATAAAAGAGATCAATGGCATTCTGTGTTTAATCATACGAGGTCTGGATCAAAACTGAATTCTTGAAACTAGCCAACTTGAGACACTCAGAAAAGCATTGTGGCTGAACATGAATATGGTCTCAGTCATCCTGAATGATACTTATCCCCTGTTCCTCACTGAAGAGAAATTGGAGCTTACTATCTTCTATTTTACTAAGTTTATAATCGTTCAGGACATTATATATGGATTTTTTTTTTGGCACAAGACATGGGCTAAGTCATTTTGGCTATATTTTTGTCATCTTGGAAAGCATTTGAGTACACCTTCAAAATGTTATTATGAAGACATGTGTATGATACTTATAAATATATAAACCATCTATAGAAAAGAAAAGGGGTGAGGGATAGAGGGAAAGAATGAGCATCCTTGATGAAGATTCTCTTTGTGATTATTATAATAATGATTTTGGGGGTCAAACATAGTAAGATCCAATACACTCTCTTTCTTGTTGTACTGCGTTTAATATAGACAATAGATATTCAGAGAATATCTGAATCCATGAGGAAGTCTTGTTAGGAGGGGTGGATTAAAGAAAGTCTTGATATAATCTTTGGTTGGATTTTAAGATGAACATTTTACTGGCTCACTATTTGCTAACAACATGATTTTAATGGTCCAAAGTGGTATTGTTGACCGAATGTACATGGTATATAACTATTTTGTTGTGGTGTGGTGTTTGTGCCAACTTTGGAAAACCCAAAGATGCATAGTTCAATTTTTGAAGAACAACATAAAGCTGTCACATGCAATCAGAAGGAAGATCTGGAGGGGCCATATGTGACTTAGAAAACTTTGGTGATTAGTTTTCTTTGGCCCATGTCTTCAGACTATTTAATTACATGTGGACACAAGGATACATTTTCCTTATATGCACTTTTATGCATTTGTTAGATTCAGCAGAAACTCAGAGATTGTTATCTTATATTGAAGAGTACTATACATTTATGATAGATCTTTGCTAACTTTCATCCTTTAAGCAAAAAATAATGAGAAGCTTATATAATAAAATATATTTGTGTATGACTAATATAATATTTAATAATAGTTAGTAATTGCTAATGTGA